GGAGGGCAGCGTTCCCGGTTCTCGCTCGTCGGGACTTGGTCTGCCCCGATCTGGTTCTTGGCGAGGCAGAGGCAGCCAGGTCTCGGTGGGTGTCGAGCACCTTGGGCTGCCGGTCCTCGGCCCGTCTAGATGGCACGCCGCAGCCCTCCGAAGTAGGTACCTCGACGGGCCATCCGACCTGACCCGACGACACTGGCCATCCTGCCCGCTCAGGACTCGCTTCAGCCATCTACGGCTTACTGAGTCCATCCTCTCTGTTGCGATGGATCGATGGCTTGGCCACCTCGTAACGGTATCCCAGGTGCTGCCGGTTTTCAGAGCACAGAGCTCAAATTTAGGCGGTTGCACGAGAAGCCTCTCTGACGGTCGGACCGCACCGTCACGCCTGTCTACGTCAAAAGAGCAAGGAAGAACCGACAAAGGTGAGAGTCGACACCGTGTCTGCACTCCTCACAATGGCAACAGCAACGATGGGACCGACGAACGTTGACCTCGCACGATCAACAATCATGCGCGACACTGTGTAGTCACGGCTGCGCCCGATGTGCCTCGTGTGTCGGCGCTGCCTTGCCTGCAGCTCCTCCCGTTGCCCCATGTGCGAAGCACGGCAGCCGGTGGACAATGAGGATGGGTGAGAGAGGCGCAATCCCTGCTTTGCTTTGGACGAACGCAGGAGTGTACGTCGGTACCGCGCGGGCGGTCGGTTCGTGTGCCATCAGCAGTCTCCATACGCCTCCTTTGTGACGAAGCCGAGCGTGCTGCAGAGTGGTACAGGTGCGCTGCGGGTACAGCACATGTGGTCCAGGCGCACGATGATTTGGTCGCCGAAACCAGGGCGGACGAGGCTCGGGACTTGCTATGGTACAGGCTGTTACGTACGAATCGGGATGAGGTCCACGGAGATGCTGTACGTAGAGCCAGCCATAGCGTAGCGTCATGGCGAAGGGGCAGAGACGGCGAGGCGTCGATGGTGTTGAAAAAGGGGACAGGGCCGGCAGGCAGCCAGGCCGGTCTGGGGCGCTAAACGAGCGAAGGGCTGCTGGCGTGGCGCACGATGCAAGCCCCGCCTTGACGAAACGCAGGCCGAGCCCGAGATTGCAGCGAGCACCGCTCGGCTGCGCTACTCCGTGGCTTTGTGGACTTCGGCACGCCTGGAAGAGCAGACGGTGCGGCACCGCAGCCCCCCAGCCCCCCCGCCAGGTCCTCGAGGCCTTCCGTGACTTCCGCTGCCGGCCTCCCGCCCAATCTCGTCCTCCGACGGCCTTACCGAGCCAGCAGCCGAACGAAGCCAGATGCGCCGTCGCTTGAAGACACCGTACTTCTTCGTCCGGCGCGCCCATGTACCGCTACCTGCTCGTCCGCAGAATCGAGATTGGGTATGTATGTGCTTCCGAAAGAGACCGGCCAACGAACTGTAACCGCACCTTCATCCTCACTTTACCTAAGATAGGTCATCTATGTACGGCGGGCCTGATCCAATTCAGCAGCAATCCGGTCATGGTGGACGACCATGCTCGGGGCACGGAAGCTGGTTGACAGTTCGGGCGGCGGCATCCGAAGTGTTTCTCTACATAGCTGCTGGGCGTCCGAGGCGAAGCGCAAAGATTTAGGGTGAGGTGGCATCGCGCCTGCGCAGTTCGCTCCCGAGCCCCTCCCTGCCTGCCTCGTCTCTGGGCCTTGACTGCGAGCGGGTTTGGTTCTTCCTACTCCGACCCCTTTTGCCACTGGGAGCCGAGATCGTCTCACTTCCGAAGTCGTCTTCTTGCTGCGCCGCGCCGCGATCCTTTGCGGCTCCCTGGGACAAGCAGAAGCTAAAGCAAGGGCCTTTGCTCTGCTTTGCTTTGCTTTGCTTTGCTTTGCTTTGCGTTGCTTTGATGTCGTTCGGAACGAGGGGGCCGTGGGACGGGAAAGGCGATTATTGGCGTTTCTTCAGCTCCGAAGCAGCGAGCGGACCGAGCCGATCGGCCCCAACGCAGCGCATGTGCCGACCGATTCAACCTCGCGCGCACGAGGCCTGCCTGCGCCCCCCTGCTTAAAGCCGCTTCCTTACCCCGTCGGACGACGAGTGACACGGCATGGCATGGCATGGCAAGGGCCGACTGCGGCTGCACTGCGCTGCATGAAAAACCTTTCCTCGAACCCGGCATGCACCGCAGCTGATGAAGTGAAGTGACACCGACTGACCGACCGACCGACTGGCGGGTACGTGCTTCGTGGCTGGTTGAGCCTGGCCTCGGTCGCCCCGACGGGAATCTGGTTCCGGTTGGCACCGCAGCATCGTATCGCCATCTATCCCACCTTTCGGGCTTGCCGAGGGGATGCATGCAGCTCGCCCGCCTGGGCCCGGAACCTGGCCGGGCGTCCTCTCGGCTCGAGGACACGGGGAGGGGGCCGATGGGGTGCTTCGCCTCTCTTTCTCGCTCCCGAACGACAACACGGCATGCGCCACCCCCCAGCCTTTGGCCTTTGACCGGGTTCGCCTCTCGCTCAATCGCCAGCCAACCATCGATTGACCAGGCGCGGTGAAGAGTGCGCCGTGGAGGGCCTGAACTGGCCGCTTGTGCGCGAGGAAGGCGAAACCAACCTAGGCATCATACGGTGGGTTGAGCCAGCTGGTTGACCTTGCTTGCTTGGCGCCCTGCTCACTGCTGGCGGAGTCGACGGCTTGCCCGATCCCAAAATGCGCCGCTGGCTTCCCCTTGCCATCTTCGGACATGCCGAAAAGGACCATACGTGCGGGCGGGCCGGACATAAGCATCGCAGTCGAGGCTCATCTCCTTACCGCCTCTCAAACCTTGCACGGCATCGATGTTGCTCGCCTGTCGGACCTAGGTCTGGTTCCCGTACTGCTGTTCTACTCGCCGCTTGGCGGCCCGATGGCCTGGACCTTTGGGGCTACCGTAGCGGCTAGAGCCGAGGCGGACGGCAGCTTCCAGGCGGGAAGGCTAGGCTAGGCTGCTCCCATCGTGCTCCTGTAGGTAGATGGCGACTGAACGTGAGCCGCGTCACAGCTTCCGAGATCCCTCTCTCGATCCGCGCTCCTCCCTGGCCCTTCTCGATCCCGTCTCTTGGTCGCGCCAAGGTCGAGGACGGGCCAAGGAAACGCCAGTAACGCCAGTGGGTACTGTTCCCACGAGGGGCGTCCAAATTGCGACCTGAGCTGCTTCGCTACCGCACACGCGGCGCTCGAACGCGAAAAAGGAATATACACTTATGTACATACATACATGTACCTCACGGCGGCCGACCGATCAGCCACGATAGACAGCACATGCACTATTCTTGAGTACGTTCATACGTCGGGAGAGAAAGGCCGCCTGCGTAGATTGAGTCGGAGCCGGGTTCGGAGGCCGGGTTGGACCGGGTACGGCACCTACGGCACCTACCTACGTACACACGCAAGCTCGACCCTGGGACCAAGGCCAAGTAGTGACTTGGCGGTGCTTGACCATCCTAGCCTAGAGGCAAGATGTACCTATTGTCGATGCTGACCCCATCGCGCCATCAGCTGCCTCGGCGTGCGGTGCTTGAATCTACGTTAGCTTCGGTCAGTGTTCGGCCGCCAGCGATCCCGACTCGATCTCACTCCCGCGCCGCCGAGGTTCTTAGCTGATCACGCCGCGGCCTATCCCCTTTCGCGTCCAGGGTCGGGATGCGAGCCATGGCCGATCAACCGTGGGCGGCCTTTCTTGGCTCACCACACCGTAATCGTATCCAACCGGAACTTGAGTCTCGTCCGGAACCCTCGTCTCCGACCTTACCTACCGGAATGGGTGTCTTTGCATTCCCTCTCCGCCCTAACTACACATGTATGTGCAGAGCACTGTATGTACCTACAGTACCCTGCCCGCTGTAGGCGATCCCACACCGCGGGGCGGGCGGATCGAATCAAAAGAAGGCAGGCCAGGCCAGGGCATGTAACATACAGTACGGGTGTTGGGCGCAGCGCCATGTGATACATATCCGGTTTGTGGGTACCCATCCAAACATGACGGCATCACCGGACGCGGAAGCGGGGGCCGTCCTCCCGCGTCCCCTAACTGGTGAGCGAGCAGTCCCATCACCCGCGCCCCCGCCTTCCTCTGGCGCCCATGTACCGCTAGCGCCGTTGATGCGCACCCATCCCCCCCCCTCCCCCATGCCCCGGGCGTGTGATAATCAATATATGTGCCCCTAGTGCCTTGGTCTGGACCGGCCAGAGTAGTGTCGGGGACTCAATCACGCCTGCCTGCCTTCCTACCTACCTGCAACGGCTCAGCCGAGGGTATTGGCATGTTACAGGGAACGGCAGCAGATGGACCACGGCATCACCCTCCTCTCTCCTTATCGGACTTCCATCAAAACCCGCCATCTCCACGGACTTGCTCGCCACCCCCAGAAAAAGACGCTAGAGGTTTTGGTTGGTACGGTGCTGTGCTGTACTCTTACGGTACCGATATGGATGTGCTGTCTGGCTGATCGAGGCTCGGCCGGAAGGAAAAGGAGCGTAGGACGCCGGACGACGTAGCCGGCGGACCGGTGGGGGTGCTTCTACGTACGGTATGACGTGGCCGACACCCACCTACCCACCTACGCTGCCGCAGTAGGTTGGGTAGCGTCCGCCGTGGTACGGTACGAGATAGGTACTACGACTGTAGAGGGGTCAGGGTGGGGAAGAAGACGAAGACGAACGACTGGGCCAAAGGGGGAAAGAAAGCTTGCTGGCGAATACGGTGACGCGGTGGTATGACGGGAACGAGGTGAGAAGGTGCCAAGTACAGGGTAGAGATGGATCCGGTGGGAACGGGGACGGGAACGGTGGCGCAGACCGATGATGGGTGCCGCTGGTTGCTGACTGGTTTACTCGATTGACTGAGAGGGATGCGATGCTTTTGAGACTGGTTGCTCGGTGGTATGGAGACGATGCTGCTGCTGTCGCCCCGGCTGTCGGCATTTGTCGACGACGGACGTCAGTCGTACGTCGGCAGGCGATCGAGCGATGTCGAGGATGCCAGGGACGGCTACTTGCTGCTCCACTGCTCCTCGGTCGTGACGATCAGGATGCCGCTGAGGTCGACGGCGTTGCCACCGCGGCTCTTGAAGCCGTTGCGCACGGTCGACGAGAAGCCCTGGCGGGCCGGAGGCGCGAGCGCAGCACGGTTGCTCGATTCGGCCTCGCCGACGCTGGGGCCGTCCTTGAGCGAGTTGTTGCGGCCATGCCACATCCTCTGGCCCTCGAGGTTGGCCGAGCCCGACTTGGCGGTGCGTGCGTGGGCCATCTCCGGGCTCGACGGGGTGCGCGTGTTGTCGCTCGACGTGGCGCGGTTCTGGATCGCGGCCCTCGTGCTGCCGTTGGCGCCGAGGTCGCCACCGACGTCACCGTCCGCCTCATCGGTCTGAGTTGGCACCGTGGCACCCGCAGCCGCCTCGGCATCGTCGTGTCCGACGACAAAGACGGCGCCGTTGTCGCCAGTCGAGCTGCGCGCCGCCGCCGGGTGTTCCATGTCCTGCGCCTGCGCCTGCCTCTGCTCGCGCTGCAGCTCCTGCTGCTGTTCCTGCTCGAGCGACGGCGACATGGCCTGCTGCGGCGTCATCTCAAAGGCGGCCTCCTCGTCGACCTTCCTGGGGCTCGACCTGACCCCGGGAGCGTAGGGCGGCAGCTTGCGCGTCGAGAGGACGCTGCCGGAGCGTCCGCGGCCGTAGCTGAGGAACGGGGGCTGGTCGGCGTCGAGCAGGTCCTCGCCCGACGTCGTGACCGAGGCGCTCTTCCTCAGGCTCTGGCGCGTGAGGTGCTTGTGCTGGCTCATCATGCCGCTGGTGCCGCCCTTGCTGACCTCGTAGTCGACCTCGATGCCGCACGTGGGGCAGCTATGGAACTGGTTGCAGGCCGACGAGTGGTGGTGGCCCGTGGTGGCGCGGTGCTTGGACTGGCGGTCGGATCGGATCGCCGGCCAGAGGCACGCAAAGGCGGCGCAGGCGACGTGGAGGTGGATTGTGGTGGCGAAGACGTAGCCCTCAATGTCCGGGCGGTAGTGGCTCACCTGCATCGTGATGAGCGCGATGAGGAAGAAGGACGGGATGGCGAAAGACGCCAGGGCGCTGTACATGATGGTGCGAAGCGTCGAGAGCAGCGAGCCGCTGATGTGCTTCTCGTCACCCCATCCCCAGCCGAGTCCGTAGAGCTTGTAGAGGAGGAAGATGGTGCAGTACAGCTGGTCGGACAGCATCACCGCCCACTCGACCACGGCGTACTGCACCTGGTTGACGCGGTAGATGATGCTGTTCATGTCCGGGGCGTTGTCAGTCGCCTGCCAGCAAAAGTGGATGTAGAGGCTGCCGGAGGCGGGAAAGGCGAGGGGCAAGTTGCGGCGTTGAGAGGGTGTCAGACGGGCCTCAACGACCATCAACCAGCAACGCGTCCGATCTTCGACGCTGCGGCGTGCTCACACGATGAAGACCATCCGGACGATCTTGGACAGGACGGGGTAGGCGATGATCAGCGCCGGCTTCCAGCGCGGAGCCGAACCGCGCGGGTAAAAGGCCAAGATCCTCAGGATCAGGGTGAAGTCGCAGAGGAACGGGATCACTGCGGGCGGCAGAAAGCGATGCAGGCCAGCGGCACAGAACGTCAATGGATGCGCACTCCGACCTCGCACGAGGTCAAGGCGTCGATTCAAGGCTCACTCACCCATCGAGAGCGTGATCAGGGTCGTGTAGCGGATGCGATCACTACGCGTCGTCGAAATGACAGAAGGGCAGAAGGTCGGCTCGAGGTCAACCTCTGCTGCCGCCCAGATCGTCGCGATCCCAGGTGCCTGACTCACATGCCGCTCTCTGGCTTGACGACAAGGTCGCGATTCTGGGAGCTGCAAGTGGGTGCGCAAGAAAGGAGAGCGACGCAGCAGGCACGGCGTCAGCAAGGCTCCAACTTGTATGAGCTGCCGCTGTCGAGAAACTCACATGTTGACAGCGGCGGCGGCGATGCAGAGGAGGGATGCCACCAGGAGGATGGCAAAGATGGGCGAGCGTCGGATGCGGGGCGAGGCGATGAAGCCCATGAAGCTGCAGGTGGAGCGAGGCGGGCGCAAGCGAAAGAGGGCGAGGCATACGTTGACGGCGATCAGCGGACGGCGATCGCAGCAGACCTTTCGAGTCGCCTTTGCTCTCCTTCTCGTCTAGGACCGTCGATACCCACGCAATCAGAGAGATGACCGACAAGGTCAAGGTGAGATCTGGAAGACGTCGAGATGGGATAGGCCAAGTACGCGTCGCGTGCGGTCAGCGCGGGTGAGCGCATCAAAGGCCCCGACAGTGACGTGGTGCTTACAGAGGATGATGAAGGCGATGGCGTAGGCGACGGCGCCCTGGTATGCCGCCATGGCTGCCGCCGCTTCCGCTGCTGCGTCGGCGGCAGCGTCCCTGCCGATGAGGACCTCAAACATGGCGGTGGGCAGACCGATTGGCGTGCGGACACACCGAAGGCGATGAACGAGTGAAGAGTGGACGAGGCCGTCGGCCGCAGCGAGCGCGGCTTTGATGAGGTGGAAGAGGCTGCACGAGCTTGTCCAGATGGGACTTGGATGCCGGAGGAGCGTTCAACAGGGACCGAAGATGGAAGGGAACAACAGGGCGGGCCAGAGGGGAGGATGGATCGGGATGGTAGGGCGGAACGAACCGTCATGGCAGAAGAGGCCTGCCTCTTTATAGTAATGGCAAGCCAAGCAGAAGGATGGACAGAGCCTTGAGTCTTGCGGTGTGTCTTGCCCCAGGGGCGGTCCCGCCCTGGGCCATGCTCAACTTCGGCATCATTGGCGTGGCGGCCTGGGGCTGAAGTCCGACCTCGAAGCATCCCTGCAGCATCCCGGCGAGCTCAGGTACGAGGCGCTTCCGCAACAGGACCGATAGGAAGTGCTCGACTCGTCTGCCACTCTGATGCAGCCAGAGCAGCTAGCTCTGCCTGCCTGGTATCCGGGGGGCGAAGTTGGTCAACGTGGCACCTTGGTTGCGGCGACAGTTTCTTTCATGTGCCTGCCTGGCCTGGCGTGAGAAGGAGAGGCGTCGGGTGGCATGCAACATTGAACGCCAGACGTCGAGGTGGCAGCGATCCGTGCTGGTGGGAGGTGGCTTTTGGGCCGTCTTTTGCTGCTGCCTTGCCGTGACATCGCAGGCCGACCTGGCTCATACCAGCTGCTTAGCTTGAACGCCTTGCACCGTATTGAACCACACAGGGGCAAGGTGGTCGGGGGTGCGTTCCCGCTCTCTCACGGCAAAGAAGCGCAAGGAGGAGCTGTGGGCGTGATAGGGTACAACGGGCGGCGTGCGTGCGTGCATGGTGAGCGTTTCCGGTGCTTCTTGCTTCTGTTGAACCCCTAGCCTGGTTCCTCGCGGCAGCCGTATACCTTCTGCCGGTGTCGCAGTCGGTTGCGGTTGCTTCCGGGAGAACGGATTCGGCACTCTGGCATGGCGTTGACAGGGCATCCCCTGCATTCGCACGTACGGTGGCAGCGAGCGAGCGTGCAGGCAGCGCCACCCTCGTGGGCCACCAGCGCCGTATCCGCTGCATGCAGTCCGCTCAGGAAGCCGCCGCCTCGGCTTTGGTACGCAGACGTCGCAGCTGAGGCTGGACTAGGTTGCCGGGGTAGTCTGTTCGCTCTGCCGGGCCTGCATCTGCCGGTCCTGGCAGTGTGCGTCTGTGTCGCGGTGGAAGACGATCCCGAAGCTGCAGCGTCGCGCAGCAGCTTGCCAGCAAGAAAGAGGGGCGGTGAGTGCATACCCGTCGCTCGTCGATGTCGTCTTTGCCTCGATCGAGAAAGGGCGCCATCGTTTGCACGTTGTCGGAGGGATAGGCCAACGAGCGGGCGGTAGGTTTCCGCCTCGAATCGACCATCGTCGTAGAAGCGCGAGGGCTCGAGAATTGTCCCGTGTAGGTGGCTTGGAGCCCGTGGGTCAACGGACGCTTGAATGCCTCGACGCAAGAGAGCAGGCAAGAAGGGCAGGCGGGCAGGCAGGCAGACGGCGGCGGCCCTCGCTCGGCAGCAAGTGGCGCCGCTCCGTTCCGAAGGGGCATGACAGGTGGCTCCATGCACGCGTGCGTGGTTCGTTGTTGGCAGCTGCAACCAGAGTTTGAGCGGCGCCGCAAGGCCAGGCGTGCAAGCAGTCGCAGCTAAGGGGCACTGCAAAGCTAGCGGCCCAGCACCTCGACGCATGCTCAAGCAGGCAGGCAGGCAGGCAGGTGGATGTATGGTGCGCCTGCTTGCTGGTCGTCGGCGCCTGCGTGAGAGCGTATCAAGCAGCTAGGGCGGCCACCAGGTGGACCTACACCTCGTCGGATCGCTCGCCCGTCGCGGCGAGCGGCCGAATGCTCGCCTTCCGTCATGCCGTTGAGCCTTCGGACGGCGACCGTCCTCTAGGCCCACAGCCAGGAGGTATGTATGTAGCTTGCCGTCGTTTCAGAAGCCCCGCGCACCATTGGTCGTGCAAATCGGCGTAGCTTGTGGCACGGCGGGTAGACGGCCTCGTCCGGAGGCCACAACCGAGCCAGGGCCAGAGGCACGCTCGAGAGCCTTCCACGGCCGGCGGCAGCGGGCAGCGGAGAGCTAACCAACGACAGCGCAGCCACCTGCACCGGCTTCTCCGCCCGACACCCCCTGCCTACCTGGCCCTCCTTCCCTCGACCCGACAAGCGCCGCAGCGAAATGGAGAGAGCTTCGTCGGAAGCACCCCGAGAGTCCAGGCCGGGCCGAAGCAGGGGGTTGCAGCACGTATGTAGGCCTACACGGCAGGTAGGCAGGCGGGGCAGGGGCTCGACCTGGCCGCGCAGACGTGCGTGCTACGTGCTTGCTGGCGTGGGTCCCTGTGGTGGTGTCGGTGCCTGCCTGTGCCCTTCACCTGCCTGCTTCGTTACCTCTCGCCACCCCCTTCGTGCTTCCTTGTCGTCGACTATCGCCATCGTCCGCCTCGAGATGGGACGGAATCGGCCGTGTATGGCCAGAGGCGGGGCCACCAACAGGGCACGGGCAGGTAGGCAGGCAGGTAGGCAGGCAGAGGCAGGAAGAGGCAGGGAGGTCGGGGTTGCGTGGCGTGCGTGTGCGTGTGACAGCCAGGCGGGGGCTTTTTGACTGCAGGGCAGGCAGGCCTGCTGCCACGCCGCTGCCAAGCCACCACCACCAACCTGCAGCGCGGAAGCGGAAGCGGGCCGTCGCCCGTCCTCCACATCGACTGGGGCTCCCCTCATGCTTTCTCGATGGCAGGCGGCCCAGCCAGCCAGCCAGCCAGGTTGTCAAGCGGGCTGCGCTGCAAGCCATCCTTCCAACCACGACAACTTGCCTTCGATCGCTCGCTCGCTCGCTTGCTGGCACGCTGCCCCGTCTCCATTCGATACCACCCTACCTTGGCCGCTCTCTGGTCGACGAACCCGGACGGCGATTCCGCAGACCCACGCCATCGGCCCGACCTCTGCTCGTTGGTTCTTGGCAGCAGCGGCGACGACGACATCGCCCCCGGCACCTTGTCTTCGGCATCGCCCCGGCGCTCACAGAGCCAAGCAAGCAGGTGGCAGCTTGTAGTCCCTCTACTGCCTACCTCTGGCTCGGGCCGAAGTTCAAGGGTAACCTTGGTTGCCATCGGACCGCTCCGCCTATCCCGCCGCCTCTGCCGTCTCGTGTATCTCGGCTTCGCCGACGGCCACCAACTTGCGCGCCCGAACGAGCAACGTCACGCTGGTGTCCTCGTCCCGCGGACATCTCGACACACACGGATCGCCCCATCGCCGATCTCAATATATTGCCCTGCCGTCATGATTTGGTTCCAGACGGCGCTTCACGAGGCCAAGCGGCCCGTCGCCTTGGCCGGAGCCGGACTGAGCGCCGCCAGTGGCATCCCCACTTTTCGAGGCGCAGGCGGTTGAGTGTCTGGCGGGAGGGTTCCCTCTCCTTTCTCTCTGCTTCGTTCGATTCGATGTCAGGGAAGAATGGAGTTTCGCTGATCGCCTGCGCACCTTGCAATTTGCTCCATGGCCCGTCCATGCTCCATCAGGGCTCTGGAGGCAGCACGATGCCCTGTCACTCGCCACGCCGTGAGAACGCCTTGCTTCCGCCGTAGTAGCCAGGGCAGCATCTTGCAGCAGCTCGACGCTGAAGCACATTCTCTACCACCCCTGCCTTGCCGCCTTCATCGATCCAGCGAGGCGTTTCAACGCGACCCGTCAAAGGTCTGGCAGTTCTACCACTACCGCCGGACCGTCTGCCTCGCCGCCAAGCCGAACCCTGCACACATGGCCCTGGCCAAGCTGCTCGCCTCAGGCGACGACGGCTCCTCTTCCTCGACGCCTTCGCTCCGGCAACGGATCATGCCCAAGGCCGAGTCGTTCCACCTCATCACCCAAAACGTCGATGGCCTCTCTGGGCGAGCCATGGCCGAGGTGACTGGCACACCGGCGGCCTCCCCCCCGGCGGCGAGCGCCAACGTCCTCGAAATGCACGGCAACATCTTCAAGACGATCTGCACGCGCTGCCGGCACTCGGAGATGAACTACGACAACCCCATCGCACCCGCCCTCGCGGGCAGCGAGGACCTCTCCCAGACCTACCGCGACATCCCGCTCCACGACCTGCCCAGGTGCCGACAGCCCAACGGGGCCGGCACGTGCGACGGTCTGCTTCGACCGGGCGTCGTCTGGTTTGGAGAGTCGATCCCCCAGCTCGACCAGCTCGAAGCGATCCTCGAGGGCTGCGACCTCATCCTGGTCCTCGGCACCTCGTCAACCGTCTACCCGGCCGCCGGGTTCGCACAGCAGGTCAAGCGGAATCGATCGGTGGGCCAGGGCAGGGGCGGCGGCAGGGTGGCCGTCTTCAACATCGACGAGCGCAACGACGGCGGCCTCGCAGACTGGCACTTCCAAGGGCCAGTCGAAGAGCTCCTGCCCAAGGCTCTCGGGCTGGATAGTGATCCCTGAACACGGGCACGGCGTTTGGGATTGCTTCCGCGGCATCTATAGAGGTCACCGCCGTCGGTGACGGAGCAAGGACGCGCGGCGAAGACGGCGCGGGCAGATCACGGATCTCAGAGCTCGAGATTGGTCCTGCCCATGTCCCTGACCCAGGGCTTGAAGAAGTTCTCCATGGCGTCGGTCGACCTCCATGCCGACCAGTCCTTGGTGGTGAGCTGCACAGCGGGGATGCGGGACATGCAAAAGGGGAGACACGGGGATTCGAGGTCAGCAACTTGTCGTCGTCGTCGTCGTCGGCCCGTTGCGTGGAATGTCTATGGCGGCGGCCGCCGGCACTCACGCCCCAGGTGTCCTCGAACTGCTGCTTGCCCTCGCGGATGCGGTAGCTGCCGGCGAGCGACCACTGGGCCCAGCCGATCTTGTTCTTGGTGGTCCAGTCGCGGAGGCACTTTTGCAGGGTGACGGACTTGTAGTTGGAGTCGATGGCGTCGCCAAACTCGGTGAGGAGGACGGGGAGGTTGATCTTGGGCCTAGGGCAGCCGTAGGGCTCCTCCCACTTGTCGGAGCGGCAGGCGGCGGGCGGGCTCATGCCAACGGCGTTGAAGCCGAAGCGGTAGAAGGCGGCCTCGAGGAGCGGGCAGTCGTTGAGGTGGCCGTTCTCGGAGTAGAAGTCGCTCTGCTTGTATGCGTGCAGCTCGAGGACGGCCTTGTTGGCCTTGCCGAAGCTGGTCGACTTGATGTCGGCGATGACGGGCTTGGACGACGTCGTCTTGGGCTTCATGAGGGCCGAGTCGGTCGAGGGGGCGGTGCGGAGGTCGGCCTGGGTCGTGACGGCCGAGAGGTCGATGTCGTAGTCGAGGCCGCTGAGGGTGATGACGAGGTCCGGGTTGGCGGCGTGGACGAGCTCGGCGGCCTCGCGGACGTGGTTCCACCAGTTGACCCAGCTGTACTCGAGGCTGTCGTCGAGCTTGCTCTTCCGCAGCTCGTTGCGCAGCGAGATGGTCTGGACGTTGGCGTGGCCCTTTGCCCACTTGGCCATGTACTGCAGGCCGCGGTGCCACTTTGCCACGTCGAAGTCGCGGTCGCCGAACCAGCCGTTGCCGTCGGTGGCGCCGCAGCACCACTGTGCGACCGAGATGTGGTTGTCGAGGTGCATCAGGATGCCCGCCTGCGCCTCGGCCTTGGCGACGTCGGCCAGGATCTGGAGCCGCGTCGTCTGGGCCGTCCACTGCGGGTTGTGCTTGATGATGTCGTTGGTGACGCGCGTGCCGTTGGCCTCGCCCAGGGCGTGGACCATGGTGTCGCGCAGCGTCACGTCGCGCCCGTTGTTGGCGTAGATCTCGTCAATCATCTGGATGGCGTACGTGTGGCGCACGAAATTGAAGCCGGCCTCCTTGAGGCGGCCCACGATGGCGCTCAGCGGCTGGTACTCGAGGCCCTCGGGCAGCATCGACTCGCCCGACATGGGCCAGCTGCGCGCAGGTGGCACCGGGAGGAGGACCAGGAGGGACAAGTGTCAGAAGGGAAGCCTCAACACCAGGCCGGTCGGCGAAGGGCAACTCACTTTGTACCGGCAAAGATGACCTTCTGGCCATTGGCATTGACAATGTCGCCGCCGCGGGTGGAAAAGGGACCGTGGGGCCACGAAGAGGCGGCGGCCCTCTTGTCAGGCGTCGAGGGGAGGGCGAGGGCCACGATGGCCGTCGAAAAGAGCAGGCTCAGGACGGCGAGGAACTTCATCTCGTCCCGTGGGCAAGCAAGGGGGCTGAAGTTCGGGAAGGGGGAGGGTGGGGGGTGAGCGGGATACGGATTCGACGACGATGGGGTGAGAAGCGGGCGGGTAGGTGGTCTTTATAGGGATCTTGTTCCCGTCGTCGAGACGGTGGCAACGTCGGCTTTTCCCGCTGCGGCTCCTCGTCGTGTGGCCTGCTGCTTCTGCGGGAGCAAGGACCGAGCGGAGATGAGCCGCTCAGACTCGTCTCTTGCTCTTCCTTGCTACACCGCACCGTATACTGTAAGCTGTGCGGCTGCGAGGGGGGGAGATGGAGGGCCTAAAGTAGCGCCGGCTGACAGGACTCCTTCAGTACCGGGGAAGGTCTCTCCGTGCCGCTCGACGACAACAAGAGAGGAGCGGTGTCGGCAGGCCTGGCCGTGTGGGGCACCGAACAAACACGGTCATGTTGCGAATACAAAGGTACAGGTACCGTACCTGCCAGACGTCAAAGATCACCGATGCCATGCTGGACTAGGTCAGACTCTAGTTCAGGGCCGCCTCGTCTACAGTGGTAGCCGAAGCCTATCGTGCATCGAGGCGTCGGTCACCTCGCCGCTCGTTCACCGCTTGTGTCGGGTACTGTATGGTGCGTTGAGGGCAGGGCGATGGGATACAGCACACCGGCACCGGCACCACTTCATCCCCGGCAATCTTTCTCGAGGAAGGAAGAATGGACTCCGGTACGCTGTAGCTGGTGAGTGCTGCTCTGGACGGTGGGTTGAGGAACGCACAAGATTCGGCTAGAGGTCGCGTGGACGTTGCCTGCCCGAGCTAGGCAGGGCATGGCACTCGATGGTACGGCGTGGTGGCACGGTGTGGTGGCATGGTAGGATGGTAGGTGCTCACCCGGTGCCGTGAGCGCTCGTCTGTCCTTGGACTGCCACCGCCAAGTACCCATCCCTGGCTGCTCTTGGCGCAGATCGACGTGGACCGCCTGCCATCATCCGCCAGCAGGCGGGGCGGATATGCGGGGCCGTACCGGTGGAAGGGATCCATCCCGCCCTGCACGAATCTTGCGTCCTTGTCGGCCTGGTCGTACTGGAGTCGCCGAAGAGGATATCCGTGGATCCCTATGCCGTCCGACGACGACACCGCGGTCATGTCGCAGCTTGTCCGCCACACGCGACCTCTTCCACCCCGACCGACAGACGCCCGGCCGAACCTCGCCTAACGGGAAGAGTGCCCTGCCGCTCCTCCTTGTCCCCCTCAGCCCCACCTCGTTGGTGTCCGCGGAAGTGGACCGGTGATTTCCCCATCCCGCGCTGCCCGCCCTGCCCTCCTTGGCTCGCCATCTCGTTTTCCCCACGCCGCCACGCCGTCTTTGATCTTGGTCAGCTTATAGAACGAAGAAATCCGTCCTGGCATCGTCGGAGCGGAGGAACAGAAGGTTACAGCCACTTAAGACTGCGATCCATATAGATCCGACGGCGAAAGTGGGAAGCGCAGAGCGTAGACGGGGACATGCTACATCAGGTCTTGTGCAGGCAGCCCGCATCGTCCGTTTATGCTGTACAGCGAGCGGCACGGCAACCACCGATCCCCTACCAGACGACCATGACGGCCACCTACAGTACTCGCCGCAGCCTACCGTAGCCTGCCGTCAGCTGAGCCAGGAAGACAGGCGGAGCCGTACCGCTTTGCATTCTCCGCACTCCCCCCCCCGCGCCCCGCTCCGCCTGGCATCCCGGCACCCCGCGCCCCGCAGCTGCATACATATTCTCCGGTGCTCCGCCTGCCTGCTTGATCTTCGGCTTTCGCACACCGACGCCGCCGCGCCTCTGCCGCCGCCGCCGCCTCCGCTTTTCGCCGTCTGTCGGCAATCTTGCGCCTCTCTCCCGGCCGCTCTTCCTAGTCCCGAGGACACGATGGCCGATCCCCGATCTCAGCCTCCAAAAAAAGCTCAAATCGGGCCAGGGCGGGCAGCATCCGGCCATCTGACCGAGCGACGACGGGGGCGGAGCCGTCGCGGCGAGGACAGGCTGGGGATCTGGACCGTCGTCATTCCCTCGACAGATGGGGCGTCCTCTTCTACTTATTTACAACAAACGACAAGAGCGCTACGTGGACAACGGCGCAACCGACCGACTGACTGGCTCAGTTGGGTCGGATGGCATACGCCGTCTTGCGGTCGCTCCCGGCCTGGCCGCGCTCCTGGAGGCCAAGGCCGTACCGCCTGAGGCGGATGGCCTGGACCGTGATGAAGCCCGACGTGGCCGCCGAGTCGAAGCCGCCCTGCTCGTCCATGCTGGTGAACTTTTCGTCGTACAGCAGCTCCTGGCTCGAGCGGCCCTCGACGATGACGTTGCCCTTGTAGAGCGCCAGCTTGACCTGGCCGTTGACCGTCTTCTGCGACGCCGGGATGCACGAGCGCACAAACTCGCACTCGGGCGAGAAGAAGAAGCCGTAGTAGAGCTGTTCAGAGAACTTGGTCGTGATGAGCTGGTCGCGCGTGCGTCGCACCTCGCGGTCGAGCGTCAGGCCCTCGAGGTCGAGGTGCGCCGCGCGCAGGATCGTGGCGCCGGGCGACTCGTAGCAGCCGCGCGACTTGACGCCAATGAAGCGGTTCTCGACAATGTCGATGCGGCCGATGCCGTGGGCGCGCGCCAGGGCGTTGAGCGTGAGAAAGACGTCGACGGGGTCCGTGTGCTCCTTGCCCGTCGAGCCCACCGACACCTTGGTGGGGATGCCCTTGGTGAACTCGATGACAATCTTCTCGGGCGTGTCGGGCGCCTCCTGCGGGCTCTTTGTCAGCTTCCACATGTCGTTGGGCGGCGTCGTGTTGGGGTCCTCGAGGATGCCGGCCTCGTACGAGATGTGGAACAGGTTCTCGTCGGTCGACCACGGCTTGGCCTTGGTCTGCGTGACGGGGATGCCCTTGGACTCGGCGTACTCGAGCAGCGCGCTGCGGCCGGCGAAGCGGTTGTAGAACTCTGCGCGAGAGGGGGTGTGCCAGGGATGTAGCACCACGAGCGTCAGCCGACAGTCGATCCGAGGACACCGTCACACGCCCTCTCGGCGCCAGTGTGTGCCAAACTCACCGGGGTTACGCCACGGGGCGATGACCTTGATGTCGGGCTTGAGGCCGTAGAAGGCGAGCTCGAAGCGGACCTGGTCGTTGCCCTTTCCGGTGCAGCCGTGGGAGACGTACTCGCAGCCGGTCTGCTCGGCGGCCTCGATCATGCCGCGGGCGATGACAGGGCGGGCGAGCGAGGTGCCAAGGAGGTAGACGTCCTCGTAGATGGCGTTTGCCTGGACGGCGGGGAAGATGAGCTCCTCGATAAACTCGCGCTTGAGGTCGGCGAGGATGAAGTCCTTTGCGCCGCACTTGAGCGCCTTGGAGCGGGCAGCCTCAAAGTCCTCCTCCTGGCCGACGTCGGCCATGAAGGCAATGACATCGTAGCCCTCGTCGATGAGCCATGCGAGGATGGTGGAGGTGTCTGTTGGGTCGGGGAGGGGCGAGCCAGGGCAGAGCCAGAGCGAGAGGGAGCATGGACCCGAGCAGCAGCAGCGACGGCGGCGGCGGCGGCGGCGGCGGAGGCAAAGTCAAGCAGACGGTGCGGAGAGAGCAGGGCGGGGGTGTGGAGGAGAGGGCGAGGAGCGAGAAGAACCAAGGTCAGCGCCTGCCGGTCGTGCAGCGGATGCACGACGCCGCGGGGGTCGAGGATGATTGCCGGACTACTTGCCAAGACCTCCAGAATAGGCGAGGAGCACCTTTCCGGGCATTTTGAAAGCGATTGCGGGGTAGAAAGGGTTCGGGGAGGATGGAGATTGAGCGTGCGAGGTAGCTGGCGGTGAGCTGGACGAGCGCTTGGTAGGAGACCGAGGGTGCGGATGAGATGGATGGAGGAGGAAGGGAGCGAGGCGAGGTGGAGCCCCCGTCGAGACTGATATACGGGCCCGTCGCCCGCCCCCAGGCCAGCGGGCAGACGGACGGGCGAGCGGGCGAGTGCCGGGTCGGTCCGCGTTGGCCTGCCGCCTTGCTGCCTTGAGAAGAACTGGCGCCGAGGGTGGCCAGGATTTCGAATGGGCTCGCTCGAGCGAATTGGATGCCACAAGTGGGAATTTGTATTCGGACTCGCATGGTCCAGCTACAAAGTCACGCAGGGCCAGGGCCAGCCTCGGCGCCGCGCCGCGCCGGGTGACTCGAGCGAGGTCGCCTGGTCCTGCCAGGGCCGTTGGCAGCAACGGATCCGGACGCTGCCTAACCTGGCCCAGCCTCTCAGCCATGCCTGACTGCCAGCCTACCTCCGTGGCCGCGAGGGAGGCATCTGGAACCGCTTCCGGTCAAGTTCCCGCCGCCCTTCCTCTCGCTGCCTGCCTCTCTCTCTCGCCTCGCCATGCCATGCCACGGTCGCCTGTGCACGTCAACAACTTGCTTGCTTGTGTGGAGCGCATGGCGCAGATGGACAGCTCGCCCTCGCCCTCGCCCCCGTTGCCCGCTTCCGGTGCTGCGTCTAAGCGAGACGGTACGAGGTCCGCCAGTCTCGAGAGGCAGGCAGAGGCAATCGCCGCAGCACCGCTCCTTCTCCCCGCCCAACGGGTCAGGCCCCTTTTCGCAGCCGGACGAAGCCGAAGAAAAATTTGCGCTGCGCGCCGCTTGCCTGCAACTCTCGCCGAGTCATCTGAGAAGCGTCCTCCACAAATCGTTGAGATTATATTCATTAACTTCTGCGGACTAACATGGTTGGGTTGCTTGGCGCAGTTGGTCAGCGCGTCTCCTTAACAAGCCGTGTAGGATTCCACCTGCACGACCAGTTATCGGAGGAGGTCCTCAGTTCGAGCCTGGGAGCGATCACTTTTGCCTTTCCTGCCAAGGTTCATTCCCTTTTCTTCTTTTTCCCCCTTCTCTTTCTTGGCTTCGTCTCGAATCTGGCGCCACAGACTACTGGCTCGCAGGCCTGGCAGTGGACATGGCCAGGGCAGGGATCTGGCTTCGTGTATGGTGGTGCGTTTTGCGCGGTGGGCGCGCGCGCGTGACGGCAAGTTCTACAAGGTGACAGAAAGAGGATGCTGCTGGTGGACCGATCGGGGCGGAAGGGGGGAGCAGGTTCGTGTATGTGCAGTGCAGCGAGACAGGTGGCGCAGAGAGACCGTTTGACAGAGAGAGAAGAGAGAGACGAGGTTGGAGGAGAGGGACGGCGCGGGGGGAGGGGGAGACGATCCGAGATGCAGATAGATGACGACGAGGTGGGCGATGGGTCACCCGCGGATGGATGGCGGTAGACGGAGGGAGCCCAGGGGAGGGGAAGCAGAGTCGGGAAGGAAAGACCGGGGATCGTCGAGGACCAGCCAAGGCAAGGCAGGGCGAGGTGAGGAAGGAGGACGAGGGACCATGCTGGTGATGTGGGTAAGGGTACAGTGCAGGCGGTGGGGACGACGACGGCGACGGCGAGTGGCGAGTGACAGGTGCAACGTCAGACGGAGGAACTGGACAGATGGGCCGGGGCGAGGCGAGGCGAGGAGGGGCAGCTCGGAGGGGCAGGCACGAGGGACGAGGGCAAATGACGGAGCATGGTATCAAGGACAGGGGTGAGCTTGGAAAACGGCAGCGACTGGGCGGGTTGGAAGCGTGGCGTAGCGGCGAGCGCGGCAGAGTGCGCCTGGCACTCTGGACGCGCTAGCCCCGTCACGGATACGGCCGGAACTCGACGCCCGCGCCCGCCCCGGGATGCGGTTGTGGGCCGCGCTGTGCGGGATGGCTCTGGACCGCGAGGTGGTCGTCGCCGTTGCCTGGAGGCGGTTGATGGTGGTAGTAGCCGAGGGCCTCGCCTTGTTGCTGTGCGTACGCCGGGCCGTTGAAGCCTGGACCTGCGGTAGCCAGCTCGCCTGGCTGATGCGCGAGCGGGTCGCCGAAAGCGTGGTCGGACGGGTGCGGGTCAGACGACGGCATCATCATGCCACCTCGATGGTCGGCTCCAGCCGCGAAGCCGTTCGACTGCTGTGGCCGGGATGCTTGTCTTGCCCCGGCAGCGAGCTCGTCGACGTAGCCCGCAGATGCGCCCGGCATGCCGTAGGCCCTGCGCGAAGGTGCGCCGCCAGAGGCACCCATGTCGGGCGGGTAGGCCTTGGCCAGGCTGTTGGACTGCATCAGAGCCGCGTGGCCGGGAATGCCATCGAAGCGCGGCTCGGACCCGCCCATCATGTGCGGATCGCCCGGAAACGGCGGCCGTCCCAGGCGGACGTCGTCAACGCCCTGGGGAGCCGATGTCTTGAAGCCACCGCCCAGCATGACTTCACCGGCGGCCCCGAAGGATGCCGGGTGGCCCGCGCTGTCGAAGGGACCCGGCGGCCCGGCTCCACTGCCCGGCTCGCGCCATGCGGCAACGCGGCCCGGGCCACCCTCTTCGAACGAAGGCGTCGCCTCCATCGCCACACCGCCGACATCGCCAAAGTGCTGCTGCGAGCCAAACGAGCTGTCGGGCGAGGCGTCCTCGATGCCCTCCAAGGCCGTCGGGGGCGCCGGATTCGGAGGCTGCGCCTTGTCCGAAGCGGCACCCGCGGCGGCCTGCGAGCGCTTCCGTTTGTCTCCGTTCTTCCGGTTGCCGACGCCGCAGCCCTTGACCAGCACATGCCGTTTGAGCGCGTCCTTGCGGCTAAAGGCCTTGTCGCAAAACATGCAGGGGAACGGCTTGACGGCCAGGTGGATCCGCGCATGCCGTTTGAGGTCGTGGTTGCGCGAAAAGATGGCGTCGCACGCCGAGCACTTGAACTGCTTGGGCAGCGGCAGCGATGGCGGCCCAGGCTTGCCGCTGCGGAAACGGTCCCGGTCCGGCGATGCGTTGAGCGGCATGGCCATGCCAAACATCGACTGCGTCGGGAAATCCGGAGGCCGCGAAACGGCCGCCAGCTGCGAAGGGCCCAGCGGCCACAGGGCGGCGTCGGTGTGGTCAAAGAAGCCGGTGACATCGGCGGGCACGCCCATGTTGTTGTTCGCGACGCCGGCGCCGGCGTGGCTGGTGGCGCTTCTGCCACTGTCGTCATCGCCGCGCTCCGAGTAGGCGGCCTCGTGCGGCGCATACCGCTGACTGCCAAAGTCGTCGTTGTCCTGCAGCAGCCGGCGCGACTGCAACGCATACGGCGCCGTCGGGTACTCGGTGGTCGGCGTCGACGATGTGGACCACGAACCCGCCAAGCCACCAAAGCCGGACGCTTGGCCAGCGCCAAAGACGCCGGGATCCTGCATCGAGGGCGACGGTGTGTGGTAGGTGTAGCTCGACGAACCCGCAACGGCACCGGGCACCTGCCCGGCGTAAGGGTCGGATGCCGCATGGGCCTGCCCGGCCATGCCGGCCGGGGTTGAGGAGAAGAAGTCGGGCAGGCCCGAGATCCGCGCATCGGAAACGTTGATGGTCGGGTAGCTCGCCTCAGTTAGGCCCTGCACCAGCCGCGGGACGGGCCAGAAGTGGACCTTGTCGTCGTCGTCGTCGTCGTCGACCTGTCCCGTGGTGGCGGACAGGTCGACGTTGCCGCTGCCGGCGCCACTGCTGCCGGCGCCGCCGTAGCGGTAGGGCATGTCGTTCTCGTTGGCGCTCGGGCCTCCATAGGCGTGGTTCTGGTAGATGACGTTCATGGTCGGACGCTGCACCTGCGAGATGGGCATCAACTGAGGGTGCCGCGAGCCGGTCGAGGAGCCGTCGTTGTACACGATCTGGTGTGTGAGGGGGACCGCGTGCCGGATGCTGTCGGTGGACGTGGTGAGCGGATGGAAAGACGATCCCTGGCGGCTCGAGTCGGTGGTCGATGCAGCAAGGGCGTCCGCTCGAGGCTGTGGCGGCTGGTGGTGCAAGGGGGGTGCCGGGTAGCTGTGCAGCTGCACAACCGGATCCCGTCGGACGGCGCCTGTGCTGGTGCCAAGGGGTCTGCCCGTCTGCTCGGGATTCGCGTCGACGGGTGTGGCAGAGTTGGCGGTGTGGCTGCTGGCGTCGAGGCGGCCGTTTGATACGCCCAGCAAGGAACCTGGTTCAGGACGGTGGCCGACGTCTGTTGCCTGTGCGAGGCCGTTGGGTGATTTGCTTGGTTCGCTGACCGTAGTCGTCTGGCGTAGGCCGTCGTTGCTCCAGGACCGCGGTGACGAAGGCCGATTCTCGTACATCGGCCGGCGAGCCCCGCGATGGCCTAGGCAGGCGGCCTGAAGGATCGGAGGCAGATGAGCCGCGGACCGGGGGAGGCGAGAACTTGGCTTGACTCTCGGTGCGAGGCCAGGGCAGCGATGCAGCGATACCTTTGCCTGTGCTGATCTACCAGGGACGATGCGATGGAGCTCGTCTGGCCTTCAACTCGGTCAAAGGATTGGTGCGACGACGACGATGGGCGTTCCGTAGACCGGACGGCGTGGCGACGGGGAGAGGAAAAAAATAAAAAAATAAAAAAAGAAAGAAGACAGCGCTGGCCAGCGAGGCCCGAGGTTCGCCCGCACTGCAACGCAGATGGGGATCGGTGCTACCAGTGAGCCAGTCGTGAGCGTCGGGAGAGGTGCCGAACGCCGGATGGCAGCGTAGCCAAGGTTTTGGGGACCGGATCAGCCCCGAGGCTGAAAGACTACTACAGCCGCGGAATATCCGAAAGCGGAAGGAGGGGGGAGGGCGAAAAAGGGGGTGGCGATTGGGCGGGAAGGCGGCAACACTTCGGTCAGCAAGGATGCTCCGGCGTCGGCGCGCCCGTCATGTTTGGCGCCGACAAAGGCAAAGGCAGGCAAAAGTGGGAGCACCGCGCACGGCCAACGGGCGCGCGAGCAGACCCCACTTCGACGTCGTTGAGACCTGCACAGTCTCTCTCTGCGGGTCGGGCATCGGCACAGGCACGGGCGCCGTAGTCGCCACGCTGGTGCGCCAGGATCAATGCTCGTGAGCATGCTCCAGGTGGCAAGGTTGATGAAGGGAACGAGATGGGTCCAACCAACCTTGCCCCTGATCGACCGGCGGCAGACCTGCAATGCGCCATGGCCAACTAGCCCGAGCCATCGCCTGCTAACGTGTCTCGGACCTTCCGGCGGCCGCAACGGACGGTACATTGGCACCCTGGTCAGGACGCCTGGCACTACTCACGATAAGCGGACGTCCGACGGGCTCACTTCGATCCGGAAGCCGATGGTCGATTGGGGGAGAATGTGCGCAGCGGGCGCCACCCGAAGCTCGCCAAGGCCGGAAGAGCCGGGCCGATGCTCGACTTGCAAGCAAGTATCAAACGGCCGATGTCGCCGTATCCGATAGGGGGCGGGCAGTGCACGCAAGACAAACTGACGACGGGCTGGGTTGTACGTCGGGGCGAAGCGCTGCGCCTGCAGGTCGAGTGGGAAGAGGTGCTACCGCAGACGCGTTGAAACGCTGCTTGGTGCCCGGGCTCCGGTAGGAGAGGTGGTGGTGTACGAGGGCGTAGATTTGTAGCTATGCCCGTGCGTCGGTCGGCTGCGATGACGCTGCGGAGCCGAAGGTCCGAGGTTACCAGCAGGGAGTCGTGGTCGAGGTCGTGAGTCGTGAGGGGCGCGTACGGCGCTACGGTCCGCTGCGTCGAGTCGGATCGGCGCGTCGAAGGGGCGTGAGTGGCGTAGGCGTGTACGAGCGAAAGCAGGGAGGATCCCGCGCGATGGTGATCAGGTCGAGGTCGACGAAAGGCTCATGGGCGCGCCGGCGACACAAACAAGAGACGTTGCGCAGCAAGCAGCTGTGGCGGAGGGTGGAGATGGACCAGAAGGGCGGCGTGGGAGCGTCCAGCTGGCTTCGAGGTCCAGCCACGGGCGAAGATATTTAGCGTGGCAGTGGCGGCGAAGGCAGCGGCGGCTGGAGGCAGGCGCCGAGGCTGGATGACGGTGGTGTCGTTTCGCTTGAGCCTGATCGAGATTGCCGGTGTCGGGCCTTGATCGCGTCTCTGCTGCAGGTTGCTCTGCGATCTGCTAGAGCGCGGCTTGCAGGCGGTAGACTGGCAGGTGAGAGCCCGGTGTCCAAGGACAGCACAATGCGATAAAGGAAACGCGCGCGCAGCGGTGGCAACGAGAAATGAAAAGAGGGCGGAGGCTCGAGCGCCAGACGGACCGCGGGCAAGGACGAGACGATGGAGAGGTCGAGAGGTGGCGCAGCGTGGTGAGGCGTCGAGCGGACAGCTGTCAGGCAGGCGCAGAACGAGACCAGGGAGCGGCGGCGGCGGCGGAAGTGGTGAAGGTGGTGGCGGCGATGGTGGTGGTGATGGTGGGAGGAGAAGAGGTGGCGGTGGCGGCGGCGGCGATGGCGACCTGTCAAAAGGGGCAGGAGTCGGCACCTAGGACAAGCAGGCAAAGAGAGAGAGGAGAGAGAGAGAGAGAGAGGCAAGGACCGGGGCTCGGGCAGCAGGACGACGACGACGAGGACCAAGATAGACGGGCGAGGGCGAGGGCGAGGCGAGGGAGGGCGAGCCGGCGAGCAGCAGGCGGTGAGCTGGTGAGGTCCAAGCAGCTGCCGCACCGCGAATCGGCGTCGTGCCAGGCAGGCCTCGGACGATGCCGCGGGGGGTGAGAGGGGTCGAGGAGCGAGCGAGACGATGAACCCGACAGGCAAGCCGGACAGGCAGAGCAGGACGAGCGAGGAGGTAGGAGGCGATGATGAGCAACGGCAGCAGCGCCGTCCGACTGTCGGTCTGTCCGCCTGGCTGGGACAATGGGGCCGGCCTAAGCTCGAAAACCGCCAGGCAGGCAGGCAGGCTGGCTGGCAGGCTGGCAGGCGGAGGGACCGGACAGTCGGACCTGGACTTGAGCAGGAGGGCAGGCGGAGACAGGCCGGAAGCAAGCTCGCAGGCAGGCTGGAGAGGGCTGCCAACCGGCAAGCAAGCAAGCAGGGCGAATTTAAAAAAATCAAGCTCAAGCTGCTGCTGGCTGCTGCAGCTTTTTCCCTCTGCGTGAGAGCCAGCAGCAGGCCAGGCCAGGCCCGGCAGCAGCGGCGAGCAGCGACGTCGGCTCAACGGCCACGGCGGACAGCCCGCGCGACAGGCCAGGGCCGACGCACACCCAGCACTCTTTGCCTGCAGAGCCGGGCAGCCTGGCCGGGAGGATGCGCGCGGGGGCCTTGGCTGCCACAGAGGCCTGGCCAGCCAGCCAGCCAGCCAGCAACACACACAGGCAGGCAAGGCACACCTACCGTACCGACCCACGCACCCAGCAAGCAAGGCCAGGCCAGGCGAGGCAAGGCAAGGCGAGGCAAGGCAGGAAGATGGCCACCACCCGACCTGACAACCCGAATCCCACCAAGGAGCAGGCCAGGCCAGCAGCGCATCGCAACCAACACCTTAGCTTGCCTGGCCAGCCCTGCGCGACCAGCATGCCCTGCCTGATCCGCCCTTTCCATACCGATCGCACAACGAGCTGCGCCTCTTCCGACACGTCGAGCTGCACGGGCGAGACCAAGGCTAGACCGTGCCGTGCCTGCCTGCCTTGGGGTGGGGAGCCTCGTAGGCGATGGGCGCGCGAGCGGGCGAGCGAGGTGGTCTTCCGAACGAAACCTTCCTCCGCTGGACGGCTGAGTCCAATTTCCTTCAAAGGTCCGCTCGACGGCAGCCGCCGCCGCCGCCCAGCAGGCGGCCGGGTGAATCCAGGCGGCCGGACGACGACAGGCTTGGGCCTGGTTGCCGACTGGCTCTCTTCTGGCTGGTGATGACGCCGGCTCGCTCCTCGTCCTACATACCACACCATTCACGATTGACTGCGGTAGGAGCGAGTGTGCCACCTGGCTTTGTGCCGGAAAGGATCGGGAAGATCAAAGAGAGGCGTCGTCGTCCCACGCTCTCAAGACGGCCTGCAGACCTGAGCTACAGGCAGCCCGTACGCGGTCGGGCACAGCGGACGGCACTGCTCCCGCTGCGCCTGCCATTCGCCCTCTGTGGTCTGCCCCCGGTGCGGCCTGGCCCGTCGCAGGGACCCAAGCTAAGATTCGGGGGCGCCGGATTTGATGCCTCTTGCACCAGCCCTGCAGCGGCAGCGGGCCGCCGCCGTCTCTCTCTGCTGGCTGGTTCCTTCTCTGCTCGTGCGTGTGTATTCCTGCTTGGTCTTGGCTCGCGGGCAAGGGACGGGAGGTATGGACGAGAAAAGAGGAGAGAGGCTGGCCGGCAGCGAGCGGGCAGGCGGGCAGGGGTGCGTCGGCGCCATGCTGCGCTGTCGGTGCGTGGCATGGATGCGTCTCTTGTCTGCTTCTTTGGCGCCTCTTCTGTCGCCGCCAGACCTCGAGGCGGCCGCCGATAGAGGCTAGGTCGGAGCGAGAGCATGAAACGCGACACCAGGCCTGGTGCAGCATGGGTTTCCAGGGCAGGCTAGGGTGGTCGAGCCTGGCGGTAGCGCCGGCCAGGGCAGGCAAGGCAAGGTCCGGGAGCGGGAGCTCTTGGCTAGGCAGCATGTCTGGGCAGGCCGGTCCGAGCAGAGCGCTGGAAGGCCGACGTAGAGCAGGAGCTACCTCACCTCTCCCGAGGAGATACACCGCGTCGTCGCCGTCGTGGTGTTGCTCGCTCCTCACGGCGGCAGGCCAGGTTCATCCGAAGCCGAGGTGCGAACCTCCCTCGGCGCGAGGCAACCGAAAAAGAAGCGCGAGAAATCGCAGCGAAAATCCAGCGCCCTCCTCAATTGTCCGCCCGACTTTTTGCCCACGCTACCGTGCCTCTACCGCCTGGAGCTTGAGCTGCACACACAACAAAGGCGCCCAAGGTTGGGACAAGTGGCCGGCCGAACGAACGAACATCGTGCCGTCGACGGCGCCCGTCCAGAGCCACAAAGACTCACTGCGAGGGAGGCCGAGGACAGGCTGGGAAGACAAAAGTAGCCTCGGCATCTATCTGCCATACGCCGACCCACGCCGTCGCCGATGTCCTGGGTCAGTGGGTCAGCTAGTCGTCGGACCACGCGTACGACAACGCGCCTTTCTCTTCCGCCTGTCGTTGCCACCCACGCCGCCCAGCTGGTCTCGCTGAGTTTGCGCCAATCAGCCGCTCCCTGACAACCTGCCCTGTACTCTGTAGAGTCCGCGCCGCGCTCGTCACTTTGTTGAAGCAACGCCCGAGACTTGCTTGATCGCAGATCCTCGTTACTGGGGCGATCATCACGACCACGTACAGTACGTTGCTCAGAGCGAGAGGAGAGAAAGA